GTTCATCGCTTCATCGTCCACGCCCCGGGCTAGACTCAGGAATTTCGCTTCCTCCAATTCTTTCCTACGTTCTTCCCGCTCCCGCCGCTGCACATCACCCATGGCATCCTCCTTTGCTTTCCTTTCGCCCCGCCCCTTCCCCTCCGCTGCGGCTCGAGCTTCTGCCCGCTCCAGGCTAACGTCGATGCATCGGCCGGTGGCGTCCCGGTGGCGCGCTTCCGCGCGTCTGCGTCAGCCCAGCAGCCACCCTGTGTCAAGCTCCCACCCCGCGCCCCTGCCCAGTGCCCCCAGCTACCAGACTGGATTTGTAACTGCGCCCATCGATAGTACCGAGTACCTACACCAAGCTTCATCTGCACAATGACATATTACCATGCCTCACAACCGTTGTACTTTACTCGATTCTTGTAAGCCACCAAACCTACGCCTACTCCAGGCCCTCTAGAGTTACATCCCTAGTTGCAGAGATGGCCTGCCTTCACTCAGCGCTGTCAGCACTGCCGTTCGCTTGCTGTTTCGACTTCCACGCATGCGCCATCTGCAACAGTTTGGACATCTTGGCCGCACTCTCATCGTCAGCCGGGAAGACATAGTCGATGTACTCCTCGAACCGATCCTCCTCGATCTTTCTCCTCTTCTTGACCTTACGAGGCATCTGTTTCTCGATCTTCTCAATGTCCTCGGCCGACCCATGCGTCTGCTCAAACGAGCGCCAGGCATTCAACAGGTCCACCCGCTCTTCTTTCATTTCTTTCGCCTTGAACAAGTCATGGGCCCGTTCAAAGACCTTGCGTGCCCGTCTCTTTGCATCTTCGCTAACCCGTTGCTCCTCGCCTTCTGCTGGTTCGGGTTCGTTGGGATCCGGCACATTGATTTCAAAGCGTGCATAATTGATCCAGACCTTGACGTGGTCCGTCTTCTTCAGCAACCGCTCATACAGCGCGCGGGCTCGATCGTATTCTTCTTCGTACTCCTCAAAATCAATGTATGCCTTCCAAACCAGCTCGGGCATATCCAGCGTAGGTTGCTCGATGCCCAGTTCAAAAATCGCTCTCGCTCGTTCTAGATCGTCCAGTCCGCGCTCCAGCTCTGCAAACTGAATCCATGCCTGGCTATTGGATGGGTTCCATTCGATCTGCTTTTCAAACAGCGTCCGACACCGCTCGAATTCAAAAAGCTGTTTCTCCAGTTCAATGTAGCTCCGGAACAACTTGTCCTTGGGACACATGCCGATAGCTTGTCCCAGTGTCTTTCTCGCTGCCGTCAGCTGCATTTGCCGCACCTCAAATTGCGCTTTCATGATCCAAATTTTGGCAAACGTCCACTTCTTGTGGGGGATCAGCTTCAGGCATTCCTGGTAGACTTGCCTTGCCCGTTCCACGTCGTTGTTCGCCATTTCCTCCCACAGGGCATAAAAGATCCAGAGATAGATGTATCTCCGCCAGTGTCGTTTTTCCTGTGAAGGCGGAATTTGAGCGATTGCCCTTTCGTAGACGTCTCGTACCCGTTCCACATCGCCACCGGTCTCTTCCAAACGAGCAAAGTCGAACCACACGTCGTAATTTCGGGGGTTAGCTTTGATCTGCTCCTCATATTGCACCCGTCGCTTAGCGATGATCACGTCTTCTACTCCTTCGCGGTTTCCAAATTGTTTCTCAAACTGAGTGTATGCTTTGTGTAGTGCCTCGGATCGAGACCGGGGCAATCGGTCCAGTGCATACTTGTAGATAGCGCGTGCTCTCTCGTACTCTTTGAGTTTGGCCTCATAGCGAGCATATGCTATGAAAAGCTTCTCATCCATAAAGTCTTCACCGAGGGTCTCGATGGCAACACCAAAAACATCACGAACCAACTGACTGGTTCCGTTTTCCTCCTCGAACTTGGCCCATCGGATCCAGTTGCGCGGTTCTGGGTGTACGATGGTGAAGCGTTCGTATATGGCGCGTGCACGGTCGTACTCTCCGTATCTCTTTTCCAGCTTAATGTAAGCCAGCCAAGCTGCCTCGTCTGGCTCCCAGCTCATCCATCTCTCGAAGACCTGTCTCGTTCCGGCGATGTTGCCAAGAGTCTCTTCCATGTAGACATACTTGTACCAAAGCTTATCGATCCTGGGGAGAATCGTCACGGCTCTGTCCAACAGATTTCTGGCGTGGTTGATGTTTCTATTCTTCATCTCCGCCTCGATGTACCGAATCCACAGGACCACGCTTGTACTGTCCACATCCAACGCCCGCTCGAAGATCGATCTCGCCCGGCGAAATTCTTTCTGCTCCAGTTCCCACTGCGCATACCGCATCCAATTGTTCATATTGATTCTGTTGCGCCGGACATAGTCCTCGAATTCCTTGCGCTTCCGGCCCTGAAATTCATGTAGTTCTTCAAGGTCGGCGAAGCGCTGGGTTGGTGCTTGTAGCCCAGGCTCTTGTCTGTCAACAGCTTCTCGTAGAAGCTGCTCGGCTGAGATCTGCTGCGGCGCGGGCGCCTTGTTTTTGACCCTGGGAGGGCCTCTCGTAGAATCCATCTTGCTGGACGTAGGCGGAACTGGGAGTCGTAAAGTGGGATCGGAACAAGTCACTGAACGCAGTTCGACTCTTTGAGATTCAAGAACGAGAAGAGGACTGGAACCCGGTACGGGAGGGCTGAAACGTGGCTTGGACACATAGAATACTTGAGAATGTTGCTGCGAAACTTTTGTCTTCATTTAGAAGTGATGGCGAGGTCTCGACTGCGGAGAAATTTTGCCAAGGTTTCCGCTGCCTAAAACATGTACAAACTGCGGTTCTCCCTCAACTCCGCATTTACCGTCAAGTTCAAACAAACCCTCAACAGGGCCCAAGTCATTCCCACACCACTCTCAGCACCTGCGCGGCGATGGCGACCCTAGCGGACGAGCTGCTCAATGACTTTGAGGACTCCGGTGACGAAAACAACGACAACAGCAATGATTTGCAGGATGGAGATGAAGCAAACCATGCGAACGGCCTGGGATTTGCGACCGACAACGCACAGCGGGGTGGCGACGACAGTGACGAAGAAGTGGAAGATGCCGAGGAAGAAGTCGCTGCCCAGAAGGCGTCCGCCATAGCCGCAGAGGGTGTAGACGATGAAGAAGATACCAAGGCCAAGGTGGAAAAGATGCGACTGGGAGGCGTGCGTGATGTCCGAAGCGTGGCCGGTCTGATGAAGACTTTGGAACCAGTTCTCGAGGTAAGAGCTTGCCATGTCCAAACATATCATAGCCTTGTCCGTTTACACGATTTGAATGCAGCCCTGACGGTTCGTCCACCCTACAGAAAATCGCACATTACCAGAACATACCACCTGATCAACGGACGACGACCGTTGGCTCAGTCGAAGATAACCCAGAATACGCCCTCTTGACCCAGGCCAATTCCCTGTCCACACAGATTGACAGCGAAATCATTCTCGTCCACAAGTTCATTCGCGATCATTACTCTGCACGATTCCCAGAGTTAGAGACCCTCGTGGCCAACCCGATAGATTATGCGAAAACTGTCGCAATCGTCCGAAATGGACCTGTGGACAACATCAAAAGTCTAGCAGATTCTAGTGATAATATTGTCGGGGCTCCTCTGAGGTCGATCCTGGACGGGCCAACGCTGATGGTTGTCACGGTGGAAGGAACGACAACCAAAGGTCAAGATCTGAGCGAACAAGAACTTGAGACAACCCTCCGCGCGTGCGAAATGGTGCTGCAACTTGACAGAGCCAAGAAGATCTTGACCGAATATGTGCAGTCTCGAATGAACGTCTTCGCCCCGAATCTCACCGTGCTTATTGGCTCCCTAACTGCGGCTCAATTGCTCAACTTTGCTGGCGGGCTCAAGAACCTGGCAAAGACGCCTGATCGCAATGTACCAGCTATGGGTTCAAAGAGGCAGAGGCAGAGTGGCTTAGCCACCAATGTGGGCATCCGACAGCAAGGATATCTCTATCATTCGCCCCTCATACAGGAAATTCCAAACGATCTAAGGGTGCAGGCAATGCGCATCGTGTCAGGGAAGCTCATCCTTGCCGCCCGAGTCGATAGCGTCCACCAAGCCCGCGACGGCTCAACGGGCGAGCACCTCCTAAACGAGTGTCTGCGGCGGCTCGACAAGTTGACCGAGCCCCCGCCGAACAGAGGTGTAAGGGCTCTACCTGCACCCGATGACAAACCGAGCAGAAAGCGTGGTGGAAGAAGAGCCCGAAAGGCGAAGGCAGCGTATGCCATGACCGAACTCAGAAAGCAACAGAACCGTATGGCGTTTGGTAAAGAAGAAGCAGAAGTCGGGTACGGAACTGGGGAGGAGACAGTGGGTCTGGGGATGATTGGTGCTCAAAATGAAGGGAGAATACGAGTCACGCAGATCGATCGTCGAACCATGGCAAAGTTGAGCAAGAAGAATCCCGGCTGGGGTGTCTCTGGTACGGCGACAAGTCTGAATAACGGAACGACAACATCTCTGCGAGGCTTTGGGTCTGCAGGTGGAGGAAACATGACTGCGCTCCGAGCTCAAGGTCTTCGAACCAGTGGCGTTGGGGCCGGCACTGCAAGTTCAATTGCTTTCACCCCCGTCCAGGGTCTTGAGTTGGTCGATCCAAAAGTGCAGGCGGAGCTCAAGAGGAAGCGCGATGCTGAGAGTGCGGGTTACTTTTCAACTGGCACGTTTACTCAAGTCAGCTCTGCAGCCGCGAATGGCGGGTTCAAGGTGCCTGGATTGCCTCCGAGCAAAAAGACGAATATGGGCCCTCCCCCTGCACCTGGTAAATGAACCAAGAAAGGGGTTTTGTTGATTTGGTGATGCCTGATGCCACCTTGACCAAAGGGTATTCGAGGCACCTCTGAACACCAATGCTATGGAACCAGGCTCGGTTGAAACGGTGTGTCCTAGGCCGCACCACGCTGAAATCCCTTCCCGGAGTATCTCGAAGGCTTGCAAACAAAGTATGTGCTCACCCACAGATGGTGTGGTATCTTGGTGGAACATGGGTACAATGCCAAAAAGCAAGGCATGGAGATGTGCTAAACGGGCGACACATAGGGGGATATCGCTCCGCCGAACCCTCAGCATGTCGTGAGAAACAATAGAAGAAAAATGAGGTCATTCGACGGGACAAGTCGAGAGACCAGCGGCTCATGGTCAAGGAAGAGATTGGGCCACGGTGGTCGCAACTCACTGGTCCGGCAGAGATCTCGGTCACAACCCTTTTTTGAAACAGATATATCCCCAGTCCACACTCTGTTTTGTCAGGTTACGGGACTGCGGCGTTCAGCGTTCTCCCTAAATGGGGGAATGGACGCGGAGACTCTGCACCAGCGAAGAGTGGCTGCGAGAGCAAACAAGGACACTACACGAAAAGGAAAGTCGAAATCTACTCATTTCTGCTCATCGCCCTGGTGGTGTTGACCCTCTTCTACGGGTATGACTCGCCATCCTCGATTGTTGATGTCTGTCCCTGGGAAACATGCGTCATTCTGAATCAAATGGCCTGGAGAGCAAACCATCACAGATGAATCGAACTCAACCTCCCGCATTTTTCAGTGACCTATAGATTAGATAGGTACCTTTGGTGTTGGACCGGGCCGAGCTTGTTCTTGTGGCCTTCACAGGTATCGAACAGTCGACATGGCTGAAGATCGATTCGTTCGGTCGTTCGTCCATAGAGTCCATAGAGGAAGACTGGTGAAGTTGTGCTACACAATATAATGTCTCCAATAGTAGCAGCCAATATGCCATTTCGATTGCGCACAGGAGGACTCAAGCGTCGAGTTTCTCCCCTTCTGTCTCGACATCCCTTCCGCTTCCTCTCCCTCTACCTCTCCCCTTCCCTTGGCCCCTCTCCCCCCCTCTCCCTCTGGGTCCTGCGCCCTTTCCCCGCGGAACAGGCCTCGTGCGTAGCGGTTCAGGCAGGTCGCGAACCGAGCCTCTCCCGGCTTCCCAGAGCAGGCCAATCCCCTTTTTGACCTCGACGGCCGCGAGGAAGTAGTCGACAGGCACGAGTTTAGTGGCTTTGGCGTGGGTATCGTCCTCCTCTTCCACCCCTTCCGCGGTCGTCGTCGTGGTCTTCGCCGTCGTCGTGTCCGAAGGCTGAGAAGGAGTAGTATTGTTATCAGTACTAGTACCAGGCACAGAAGGGACAGAAGTAGGAGGAGGAGGAGGAACCACGCCGTCGGAGAGGATGACGCCGTTCTCGCTCCGCCACCACTTCATGTCCGGCGCCTCGGCCAGCGCCTTGCGGATGTCCACGTAGATAAGGATCTGGGCGTCGCTCCTCATGCCGCTGATGACCTTGTTCTGGCCCAGCAGGACACCGAGGGTTTTGGACTGGGCTTTTTTGTTGGCCTTTTTGCTCTGTCTTTTGGAGGCCTTTGTTTGGAGTTCCCCGTCGTGCGCGGGCTTGGTCTCGGTATTATCGTCGTCGTCGTCGTTATTGCAGTCGTTCTCATTGTCGTCATCGTCGTCTTGGTTATCGTCTCGTGGGTCATTAACATCATCATCTTCTGCGGTGACAGCAGCATCGATGGCAGGATCGGCAGACGATGTCGGCAAGACCTCACTCAACGAAGGCCCCGTCGCGAAATGGACGTGGTTCCTCGTCATGCTCTTCAGCCCGCCGCTGCGCAGGATCTGGTCCCACGCGCCGTAAAAGGTGCCGTGCACGACCGTGTCCGGGATGCTGGCCGGATCAGCGAGCGAGATCGGGGTGAGCAGGTTCTCGGCCTCGACGGTTTTCATGCTGTGGCCCTGCGTGGCGCGGATGAAGAATCTCCTCGTGTCGACGGTTTCGTCGTTGCCTGAAGGAGCCAGTGATGCTTCGAATGTTGATATCGCCCGCTGCGTTTCCGTCTCGGGTTCGTTCGCCGTCGTCGGATCCGCCTCCGCCTCGACGACAGTCGGTGTTCCTCCCCCTCCGGCGTCGGCGTCAGCGTGCACGTACTTCATCGCGAACCGCTTCTTGTCGCTCTGCTTGACCACCTCGACGACCTCGGCAAACGTCACGGGCGGCTGCATGTTCCGCAGCTTCTGCCATCCCAGCAAGTGGTCCATCCGCACGTACCCGTGGCTGTCGATGGGGATGCGTTCGTCCACGGCCGCATGGCGCAGGAGCCGTGAGAGGGCTTTGGAGACCAGCACGGTGCGCGGCAGAGAGTCGTGACGAAGCCCGCCCCGACCACCGCGCCCACGACCACGTCCACGGCCCGACATGATTGAGCGGAGGGTGTCGGCGGGGAGAAATGCGGTGATGACGAGTCGCCTGTACAGGAGGGATTGCAGAGGTCTTGAGATTTGTAGCGAACAAAGACAACGGCTTCAAGTGACTTGCTGGCTGGCTGACTGTATTTATCAATGTTCAAAAAGGAATAAATCCACGCCAAGTATTTTTTCCTTGCACTCTCGAGGCTGAAAGAAATCCAAAACCCCGAGGGCTCAGAGTCTTTTTGAATGAAAAATGATATCGACTCCGTCTCTCAGCCCCCCTTGACAAGTTGTCGACAGCAATGTTGGGATCACAAGTGAGTCACGCACGGGTCGAAACACAAAAAGAGACAATGCGTTGATGACTCAAGCGTGTGGCCCCCGGAACCTCGTGGAGTCGGAGACGCTCCGTTTAGATTGCGAGGATTTTCAGGACCTCAAAAGGCGGAGATGTGGCCTCACACTGGTCGAGAGCTATAGCCGGCTGTACCTAGGATCTTGTAGACGACGGCGTGAGTCAAGGCCGATGTGGAAAGCCTCTTGATTCTTCCAGAGTAAATATATTACACACATGCCGAATTATCATGAGGTGCGAGGCAAGGCTCCGCTTATCGATACCATTAGCGCCGATATCTCAGCCTCGTCGTGAATTTCAGGATTCAATGGCAGTTGCGAATAGGAATGAGTACAGAGGCCAAAGTATGACGAATCTTTGTGAATGCTCACTCTCATGAGTCAGGATTAGTAGCAGCAATACAATGCACTTCTTTTCCGAGGCAGTTCTGCCACAACTTATCTACATACGTAGATACGAGTACATCGACCTATCCAACACCCGTTTCAACCACCTTGCTGCTCTCTATCTTTCACACTCTGCCCCCTCCGTGTCACCTTAATTACATGCTCAAAGTCGAGCTGATGAGATATGTGTATGCTGCCATTGAGAATCCGGGGATGATACTGTTGGATGACCAGTCACTTAACTCCAGGTTCAGGCTTAATGTCCCATGATCCATAAGAAATTCGTCAGATTCCGGCGAGGGCAACAGAGTAGGGTATAAATGTAAAGAAATTGTGAGGGAGATCAATCCGAAGAGATCTGCCCAAATGCTTTTTCCAAAAGGAGTATACCTCCCACAAACCCAAGTTCAAAAAAGACGGTTGAATCCAACAGAAGGGGAAAAAATGGATCTGATAGCCAGGTGATGTTGGCTTTAGAAATTCTGTGCGATCCCGCCTTGGGCTTGCGGGAATGTCGGTGCTCGCTCGATGCGAGTGTTCCTTCGGGCTTGGTTGTCACGTATGACGGGTTGCGTCCCAGTACCTCCATATGAACCATCGCCATATGGGCCATGGCTGGCGTTTGCTTCGTTATATATATTATAAGGAACTTCTTCCTGATAGTATGGGCCAGGCATTTGAGGCGCTTCTGAAGATGCCTCAGAGTGGTGGCCTTCAGAGTATGCCGAGGAAGCGTTAGACGGACCGCGGCGAATATCTCCGGTCCCACTGCGATTCCTATTGAGCGCTCCCGCAGTCCCCAAGGCTGCAACGCCGTCTCCGCTTTCTGGATGACCGTTCATCAAGGGATCTGCAGAGTATTGATCCGAGGTCGCATTCGGCGAAGCCTGGGGGGCATACCCGCCAGGTTGACTGCTGCTTTCCGATAGAGCCAGACCGCCAGCAGCTCGTCCATTGGAACCGAGTGTCGTTGAAGCTTTCCGATTCGAGGATGTTGCTCCCCATCCGCGATATCCACTGGTGTCATCTTGTCCTTCAGATTGATTGTCAGTATACGGCGCCGCCGCAACTCCGAGCGTCGGATCACTGTTCGGATTAAAGCCATATTCAGCCATCTCGCTCTTACGCAGTTCTTCTGCATTCTTCCTGGCCTTTCGTTTCCTCCAGCAGAAGAATCCAATCAAAAATAGTGCTGCGATAACCACGATCGGAATGATGACGGCTATTGCGATCTTTGCACCAGAACTGAGACCACCTGAAGATCCGGACTTTGAGCCTGGAGCACTCAGGGTTGATGGTGTGGGAGATGAGGTGGTGGGGGTGACTGTTAACGACGCGGTGGCAGTGTCCGAAGTCGGGGTATCCGGAGAGAATGTGGAGGTCACAACAACCACTGTAGGAGTCTGAGAGACTCCGGGGGTCGATGCTGGTGTTTGGGTAACTGTTTCTGTCGCTATAATGACGCTGGGACTCGTATCAGGGGTGCTGGTGTCAGGTACCACTGTGGTCGAGGGAGGAATGGAGATGGATGAGGTGACTGTAGTCGGCGGTGGAGTGGACGTGTCGGATGTTATCGAGGTATCGGTCGAAGTCGAATCTGTGACGGTAACAGTGGTAGAGAACGAGGTAGTGAGGCTGGTCGAAGTCGTGCCGATAATTGTCGTGATGACCGAGTCGGTCGCGCTGGTATCTATCATCTTTTAGCTCGAGAGCCGCCTTCAAGGGGCGTGTGTTGTCCATACCAGTCGCCATTGTGGACTGAATTCCTGGAGTAAGTGTTTATGGGAAACAATGCCTGCCGCAGCAAGCGGAGGTGATGAGAGAGGTTCAACGCGTAGCCACACCAACTTCTGCTGGTCTACCAGATATTCTCCAAATTGTTGGAAGGTATTGAACTCTATTATATCACGACGTCCCGGTGACAAGGTGTTGGAGTCTCAACGTTGCCCGTCAGCCGCAGGTTTAAAAAAAAAGGGCAGGGGCAGACACAGGGCGATTTGAAGTGTCTGGACGCGAGGGCTGTGTGTGGTCTCTTTGCCAGACCAATAATACATGCAGGGAGAAAATAATGATGATGATGACAATGAGTGACTTCTTAACGGGATCAGATCCGACAGAGGGTGTATACAGTAAGATGGGTGAATGTATAATGCTGCGACTCCGAGATATAGACGCAGGGAAACATGTTCAACGTTGGAGAGAGGGAAGAATTGAGCTTGCTGGAGGTGGAGGGCGCAGCAAGTGGCGAGCCTGAGACAGAAAGAGGCCGCAGAGGGGGAAACAGTCAATAGTTCAGGAATCATGGCTCAGGGTTGTGATGGTGGTGGTGGGGCCTGTGTAAATTATTATTGGGTAAGCCGCATGCTAAACTTACCAGCAACTCAGTAGTGGTGCCAGGAACTTGCAGGATGGCGGGCCCTGGCACCAGCTGGAACATGACCTCCGACAAAAGAGTTTAGGGGCCTCTGGAGCTTGTTACCCTTGGAACTCCTTGGTCCTTTAGGTATCTAGGAGTACTAGTAAGGACGGAATATAGCCTAGCTCTCTGAGGCCGAACCATCGTTACATGCAAAGTCTTCGGTACTTGTCCACTTTGTGAAGATTTTCATCTCCCCCAACGATCACAGAGCCGAGATTCCGGTCCTTCAGATTCGCACCAGTCGAACGTCTGCTTTCGAGAACAAAACTGGGCGTAACTGTTTCCCTACGAGTAGATGATCGTCCCCTCGATGACGGACACCAACGACCCTAAACTGCGGAAGTACAACCATCCCACCCGTCCCGACAGTCCTCGATGGCGGCTCTTTGCAGCTTTGGGACCTTCTCCACGGATCCCACGCTCCAATCTGAGTGCTCAATGTATCACAGACTGACCCGATTATGTGAGACTGCCGCTGTCACGACGAAAATACTGCCCACCTTGTCTGGCAATGTGATACACACCCTGCCCCGACGCCAAGGTCTCGTACTACAAACGCTCCCTACCAGGGTTCATGTTGGGCTTTTGGGACATGCCAATCCTGCAGGGCGCCGATTTCTACCAGTATCGAGTACTCCTTGCTGGGATCTGGATCTTGATATCCGCTCTGCGCCTGCGCTTCCTCATGCCAAAAGCTGCCAACCTACCCAATTCTAGCTCATTGCCGCACCGCCGAACAACTTTCCCTTGGCTCATTGGCCTATTCGGCGCCCATTCGGGGGAAACTTGGAAGAAGAATCTGAGCTCCAAGAGAGGCCTCATGCACCTCGCATGAATTCCGTACAAGGGCACAACAGCCGCAAGAGGATCAGAGTCGACCCTGGAATCGGTCAACCATCCAATCACAGGTTTATGCCGTTTGGTTTCGTGTTCACCGAAGACCACAGGGGATCTTCAGTCGGGGGACCAAGCTCCCCGATTCTGATATTTTATATGTGAACTTTTTTGACAGGGACAGTCCCAAATAGATTCCTAGGCCTCGGTGCCTCGAATGGGCACGATATGCCACTGGCGAGAGCTCCCGAGCCTCCTGACAACGCCCCTCGCCATGCTTTAAAAAAGTCCCATATAGAGTCATGTCTCGAATCAAAGATATCGGTCCAATGTAGATACACGCCACTCCGTCAAAGAACATTCATCGATTTAGATCCCACTGCGGCTTCAATGCAGCCGCCAGCTCGTCTCTGGTCCCTGCAACCTCTTTTGGTATACGACTCACACGGTATGCGCCGGTCCGGATATTATGAACGTGGAGAGCCGATATTCCGGATCGATTGCTGCGAATGCTTCCAGTCTCAGTGCCAGTGTCGTTTACTCTGAGTCGCGATGGCGGTGCAAAGTCCAATGCTGTGAATGTGGATGACTTTCTCAATTGATGCCTGCCGATAATTGTTAGTCATAAAGATCCAGCGGATTAGTACACACAAAACTTACGGGCTGGGAATAACCGCCAGATCATCGAATGATGATGCGAGTGGAATGTGAGCCCTCACCGCTGGCGAGTACGGCCTCAGTCCTCCACGGAGGCTATCGGGAGTACCAGATCGCTGGTTGTGGATTTTCTGAGGGGGAGCAAAGTCTATGGGCAAAAACGTGTCCTCCTTGAGTTTTGCCGGCGTTGGTAAGAGGTTCAGCGCTTTCGGCGGCGGCAGGTTCTTCGGCGGTGGCATGCGAGGATATCCCCCATACCGACCTGATGCCGAAGAAAACGCCCTAGGGCCGGATTGATAGCTTCCGTTGGACACCGTTGCACGATGTCTCCCGTACGCGCCGTTCTGTGACATGCCCCGAGGTGGATAATATGCCGCCTGATCATAGTAACCATCTGGATAGGCACCCGGTCCATAGCTGTCCTGGTGGTAGCCTTCGGCACCATCATAATATTGCATGTTTTGAGCCGGATTCTGCGGTTTGGAGTCATCAAAGTATTCTTTATAGAATGATCTGATCCGGTTGGCGCGCTGTTCTGGGTTTTCGGACGGATCGTCGGGGGGTAATGGTCGCAGCCCCATTGTGAGCCGACGGGGATCGTACCCAGTGTAGTCGTCGTAGTCTTCGAAGTCATAATACCCGTGCTCCTCAGGATATTGTTGATCATGATCTCCGTAAGCCTCGTATTCATCGTAGTAATCGTCTTCCTCTTGTTGAGCCTGGTGTTGACCTTGCGATGTCTGAGTATGCGAAAGCTCTGGGCCAGAGAACTCCGTTGAACGAGTGTCGCTGCCCTGGAGCGTCTTCTTTGACGTATCTGGAGCGGTAGGAGGGTCTTCTTTCGAGGTCATGGCATGTTGTCCATTACCTTGGGAGTCGATGAAGCTTAGCTGAGGTAGCCGTGCCTGGCGTTCTTCTGGAGTATTCAACGTAATGCCTGGAACGACAGGATTCTGTCCATGAGAGGTTGAAGTTGTGGACGGTGTAAATGGGGGTGGAGCGTCTTTGAGTACTACTGGGGGAGGCGCCTGGACTTGCATAACTGGTGACTCGGCCCGGACCTCTTTGACAGTGGATATAGGTTCCTTCTTGACTTGTTCCTCCTCAAATAATCCACCGCCGCTAATAAATTGGCCGAGGTAGTTGTTGCTGGCCCTCAAAGAGTTCACTGCTCCATTGCTACTCGCCGTGCTCACAAAAGAGTCACGGATGGGGTCGGGTATGGTAGGAGGGAGCAATGTGTTCGCTTTGACTGGTGGCATAGGACCATGGCCTCCTGGAGCCGACTCTGCTGGAATAGGGTTTCCTGACGGAGGTAGCACATTCGCAGGCTCCTGGGCATTGTGCAACAAATTCTGCCTCGAGTCGAATGGAAACCTGCGGCTAGAAGACCCGGTATAGCTTGAGGAATCGTCGACAGGGCTTCTGAGACTTGACGGTGGCCGTATGGAGCCATCATCAGGAATAAAGGTAGTCGCACGATATTTATCGTCACCAGTGGTTATAGAGCGAGACAGCGAATGGAGCGATTCCCTGGAGTGGTGCAGTTCGGGCGGCAGAAGATAAGGGTTATTGGCATCCAAGTCAAGCGACAAGCCACGAGCTCGTCGGCCGCCTGTCTCTTTGTTCTCAGCCATCGACATCTCAGGGTTTTTCCGATCCTTCTTCTTCCCCCCCGGGTTGTGCTTCGCCTCGAGCAGGCCAAAATCAAGGGATTTGTGTTTGTCTTCAGCATCTTCTCTTCTTAGCTTCTTCACATGCCTCCTCTGCAGATATAACAGCAAACCCAGGGCGATCGCTAAAGGTATAACCACTGCCAGAACGATTGGCACAGTTGTACTCGACCCATCAGACCCGTAATATTTCTCACAAGCGCCCGAGTTGTCGTTTGGTCCACACGATGTTGTAGTAGCCGGGCTCGATGAACTTGAAGACGACTCGGCTCTTTGCACCAGCGAAGGGGGTCTCTCCAAATAGAGGCCTTCTAGCCGGATATCAGGGATGGGACCTGGACGAGCGAAGGGGTTCCTCGGCAGTATCTGCGGCTCATTCTCAGGGAGAATGGGAGAGGACATGTTACCGGGGCAGACCGAGAGTTGTTGCTGTCTGCCGACGAGGGGAAAGGCGTCGATAAACAATTACTCTAGCATGGCATGTTGAAGGGCAGAGAACTGTAGCCTTTGTTGTTAGGGGACCATCAAGTTGCGTCGGTTGGTCAATGTGAGGTCCAGACTCCGGGCGGAATGAATGCGTAGCACGATTCCACAGCAGCAACTGGAGGACTAATTAAACGAATGACTCTGGTGAGGTACCAAAAGAATGACTGCAGTTGGAAACAAGTGACAAAGAAGGACAGAAAGGAAAGACGATGGACAGTGGTCCTGCTCAAAGTACGAAGTACAGCACAAGATGCTGAAAGCAAACGATCTTGCATAGACACAAAGGAGACGAGAGAAGCAACGCTGCAGGCTGCCAAGGCTCCAGGTCCAATGCGCACAGTCCTTCTCCAGACAGGTAGTATTACTGGTGAGATCAGGGCCCACGGAGGGCCTCTTCATGGTGCCCCGACGAATGGGTGGCTTTATTAGGCGTATGAGAGATTCTCGTTGAGCGGCCACTAACCTGACTTGCCCTGACTAGCCGGGGCCGGGAAAAGCCCAAGCTGGAGGGTTAGTGAAGTTAATGGAGTTGGCTGCGGGGACTGAATTTCGCAACCCCGGCCTGAAATTTGGGCGAAACGGCAGTGCTGTCTAATAAGGCTCCGCTGATCGCAAGCACTGTCAGGAACAAGCCAGTGGGCTCTCGCGGCCGCCTGTGGGCTGACGAGCAGCTGTTAGGTGGCCCGGTGGGCTTTAGTAGGTATATTCAGTGCCTGGAAGGTACATACCTATGGGGTAACCACCAGGCCACAAGTAATTTTCCTTGGCTTTTGTTAGTTCATTGTTGCTGACTTACCACCTTACCCACGAGTACTTCGGGTGCTCATGAACAACAGACGAACAAAAGGTTCTCTTGAACTGGAGGCATCTTCTTTGTCTCACCAGAAACCACGCACAATTCTCTCCGGCCACTCTCTCGTTCAAACCCCATGAACACCTCGATTGGCATCGCCACAATGGTGGCATCTGAGTTGCAATCACAGCCTGTGGTCAATCAATTGTCAATTTCCGGCCGCGAGCTTCTCGCCTCCACTAACCTCGTCCCAGACTCGCTCGTTACACACGGCGTCCACTCCCATCACGTTTTCTCTGGCCGCCGTTGTTGCCCCTGCAAATTCCCTCGCCTTTGATCAGTCTCGAATCGCGTCCTCCTCGACGAATCATCCGTTTCCACAGAGCCCATGACGCAGACGCAGCTCGTTCCTCGTGCCTTTTCATTTGCCGCACCTGCGCCCACACGCCTCTATCCAGATGGATCTCCGCTCACATGTCAGATCGGCTATGTCCCAATCATCTTGTATCTTTCGTCATCAGGCGTCATCCCATCAATAGCGCGTTTGTTTTACAGAGCAAAGTCTTACCCCTGGGTGCCATGGCAGCCATGGCTACCTCCTCGTATTGCACCGTGACACTAGGCTCGCTTATCAGGGATATCAACGTTGGGCTCCCTAAGCAATCTCCAGCGAACCCTTTTCGATCTAAAGTGTCTTGGTCCGGTGAAACCACGGAGAACAACTACACATACGTAAACTGGTGCAGCTTACGAGTAGATAGTTAGGGATAACTTGAGGAAGAAATGTTTGTTTGTATAAAGCTCCTGTGGGCAAGACAACCGTCGATCGATAAACATATCCCTGCACCAGTTTCAGTTTTGACAGGACAAGACCTCATTGTGTTGCCACGTGCGGAGTGAAACCTCGCGTTCGGTGCAGCTTCATCGACCTCATAATGCCCCTGTACCAAGCTTCTTATGAGCAGACATATTGGGTCTGCTGCGCCATGGTCAGAGGATGGGGTCGCTTTCTCTGCTGATGGCGCCACTGGGGACATACACGTCTCTTCCACTTTTGCCTCCTTATTACCGCAGCATCCGTCAGCAGGCTTCCACTTCCATTCGCAATCGGATGGCGACGAATCTGTCGAGAGTGTCCTAAGAGCAGACGCTAACGCTTCTCAACTTATTCTGAGCCGCCATTCATCTACCAGGCCTCTGTAGTCCTCTGGTCCATACGGATGCCAGATCTCAGCCCACCAGCTGTTCTTCCTTCTGAAATTCATCCCCAGATCCCTCAACAACATATCGATGTATGGTACCGCGTCAAACACGAAGTCCGGAAACTGTTTCCCGGATGCGGCTGGATAGCGCCATCTGCCAAACTGGGCCTGCAAGATCGTTTCGTAGGCCACGGCATTCGGGTCAAATCTTTCCGTGGGACTGTGTTGCTGAGGTGGGAGGTGGTTGTTTAGGTATGCTGTGATCCAGAGGGCTTGGGCCTGTGCGACCGGGACAGTATGGATTGTCAAAATGATACCCAGGAAAGCGATAGAGGAATCATCAATGTTTGCAGGTGGCACCATGAAGCGATATAGCCGGAAAGGCCGCTGGTTGACGACGCCTTCGTCTGTTGCCGCTTGTAAAGTCTTGAGATTCTGGTTTGTGTCTGGCTGGTGTTTCAGCCGGGGAAAGCGACTAAGAATCTCCTCGTCTGCCCGATTGACGAGGTCGGATTCTGGTTTGGTAGAATCATGCGGAATTCCCAGCTCTGCGTCCAGTCCTTCTGGAAGAAATTTCATAGAAGGTCGGTGATGCCAGCCCGTCGAACAGATCAAGGCGTCCCCTGTGACTGTTGTGCCATCGCTCAGATGGGCTGTTCGTTTCGAGAGATGATCGATATCGGCAATATGAACCTTGATAGTCCCGTTACGGACATACTCGAAGAAGTCAGTGGGATAGTTCAAGATGGACACTGAAGAGGCGTGCCAGAAGGTGGGAAGTTTTGGCCTCAGCTTTGCGGTTTCCGGGTGTTTGTTGTATCCCGTTCGCTCATCAAGATCAGCGGTCAGAATGTCCCAGAACCTGTCCACAAAGAATCTTCCGATCCAGGTACCATGTAGCAGCTTGCGAACCCACCCGAAGCCGTCCTGGGCACCCCAGATGCACGGGCTGAACCAGGTGAAGAACCGGACGCCGACCAGACCTTCGAGTCTCTTTTTGAAAGGCGTAACAAGAGATGGAGACATCCAGTTGGCACCATGGCCGGACTCGCGAATAATCCAGTCAACCGTTACCCCTTCTGAAGCAAAGGCATAGGCCACATCATACGAAGACTTGGACCCTCCAAGCAGAAGGACGTTCGTGGCGGATTGTACCAGTCCATCCACACGGTCCTTGAGATCTCTCACATGGAAGAGGGGAGCCTCAAACTCATCTTGACCGGGAAATTGAGGCAGGAATGGATTGTTCGTAAGGCCAGTTGCAATGACGAGCTTGTTCGTCTCCACGCTCTCGGTCGAATTGGATGGACCTTTATAACTGACTTTCCATTTATTCGGAGACAGACGCTCGACAACCTCAACTTTCGACTTCAGCTTCGTGCGCCTGGTCAAATCAAATTCAGCTGCAAAGGCCTGAAGGTATTGGTGCAGCTTTGGACCCGGTATGTGACCTCCAGTGCTGATTCCCAACGCGGCTCGGTCAAGAGGGAAGTCCGAGAACTCATAAGATCCTACAAGGTTGTTGGAGTGGAGGCCCGGGTAGAGTCGATTTTCCGACCATGTCCCTCCAATGGATTCCGCCGAATCTAGAACCAAGAGGCGAGCTCTTGGATAGACATCCAGATACGTTTTGGCCATGATAAGCCCATGAATGCCTTTTTCGGGAGCTTAACAGTGTTTCGTTGATCTTGGCGCCACAAGCGACTCACCTGCTCCAACGATCACTAAATCGTACATTGTGTATCTGTGGCAGGGGTAAGGTGGTAAAATCAGTGGATGGTTAGTTTACCTCTATCAATGTGTAGAGGTTTAGTTGTGGATTTGTGCAAAGCATTCCAAGACAGATCCTGATTCACCACTACAAGAACTGACCAATACTTCCTCAGGGATTGCTCATCCAGAATCATAATGCTGACGGATGATTGTGCTGTTTCTCACCTGTTGTCTTATGCTGTTCAACCACAGATAAGGCCTTGGCTTGGCTTGGCTTTATATAGAATGCCAAGCACGCCAAGACGAGGCTTCGGGACCGAAGTTTCACGCCAGGCACAGTGAGGCTGGCACTTGTCTGGTAATTGATCAGGCTATGCGCCGAAGCCATATTGGGACCCGCCAACCTCAGTCACAAGAGGATATCAGTATTCGGTGATCCCTCAATCCACAGACGCGGAAATGGAAATGTGGGCTCTGGATCTCTACTTTGACCCGAGACGTGCGCCATACACCCACAGGACCCCTGGACCGGCCAAACCTAGAAACAGGGATAAAAATGCCAGAATGCTGTTACCCCACCCATATCCCAGATTTTGGTACATGACCGGGGCAAAGATCGGGAATGCGAACGCAGTCACGCTTCTGAGCACCTGGCTTGCAGCAGCGCCCGAGGCCACCGAACCCGCGAAGGCGTCCATCACATACGCCTGCGACAACTGCGTCGTCATGACGTTGCCGAAGCTGAATACCGCGATGCCGATGTCTGGGACTAACCAAAACACCTTCGCTTGCGCCGACCAACCGTACCAGAAAAGACCGACAGCCGAGATGATGCCGGCAGGAAGCATCAGCGGGACCCGTACCTCAGGCGCAGCCTCAGCAGATCCAGCCCTCCTCAGCCTCTTGTAAATTTTATCCATGGCCAGACCACCCAGGTGAGCACCCCCCAGGAAACCGATCGCAACCGAAATGTACTGTAGGCCGGCTGCTTGAGCGGAAAACCCGTATTCATCGACAAACAGGCTCGCGAAGGTTGTCATGACAAGGTAGGCAGTGCCAAAGTTGACCGATAGATACCCTGCGATGATCTGAATGGCGGGCTCGAAGCAAAGCATCTGGAATGGCAGAGCAAAGCTCCGGGTGAGTTTCGCCTTCCGGGACTCAAGTTCTCCTGCCGCGTGGTATCGGTTGTCTCCCGTTGTTTTGCGCAGCATGGCTGCCTTGCGCTTCAATATAGTGTTGTTGGAACTCTCATAGAATAGCCAATACCCAAGAATGAGTATGGTCGCAAGAAATATTGACAGCGTCCAGAAAAGCCAACGCCATCCGGCAGCCTGTACGAGAATGCCTCCGACGATGGGACCAAAAGCAGGGCCGAGGAGAGGCATGGTCGTGGCGATTCCCAACGCTCGGCCTCGCTTCGCAGGGGGAAAACAGTCGCTCACGATTGGATTGGAGATCTATATCACGATTGGATGGTCAGCCCGTTTGCGTTGGGACATCATCCATCTCTAGATTCACTTACCCCGAAGCTCGAACTGGCGCCCAGACCTGCTAACAAGCGTCCCACGATGAGGAGAGACTTATTGTGACTGAACCCGCATACCATATTCCAGATGGAGAACCACAGTCCCGTCGCCAGCCAGACTGGTCTTCTCCCATAGATGTCTGTCACTGGAGCAATAAACATAGGCCCGAAGCCATACCATACGACGAAGATGGAGAGACTCAGCTGGGTGGTCTCGACATTGAGGTCCAGCGCGCGGCTGATATCCTGCACTCCAGGTGCCATCATCGTACCTCCGGACAGGGTTGCAAAGCTTGAAGCAGACGCGAGCAGCACCAACGTCCATTTTTGTCTCGCGGACCAATTCAATGGGCGATCAGGATCATCTATCCCTTCCCAGGTGACCTGGCACAAGAACAAGTGTTAGTCAGCTCTGTCCTCCTTTGACGGCTGAACATCCAATCCAGGTCAGAACTGGAATAACATGCCTCGAAAGAAGACGCCTCTTGGCTTAGGGATACAACTTGTTTGCTCTCTGCTCCGCCTTGGCTCTGGCCTTTTTCGGCGTCCATTGGCGTATTCATGTCGATGGAAACACGGTCAGTCTCGGCCACTACAGGCGAGCCACTCTTGTTGTTGAATAGCATTATGTTTGTTGCACCACAGTGGGGAAAGTACCGTTGGGAGCAAGATGGAATACAATATCATTTCTTGCACTTTCTCCCACGGGCATCGGAGTTCTCTGCTGGCAATATATCTGACCTAGAAAATAGTCAGCCTTTGCCGCAGGGCGGAAGCCGGCAGCTGGAATGGTGGGCCGGCATTCTCTGTGCGAGCCTCGCTGTGGATTCTTAAATTTGTGTGCTTGATGAAAGGACCCCTTTTACCTCTCCTATTGCCACTATTTCATATCAAGGAGAGCCTCTGGAATTCCTGACCGAGGTTGTCTTTCGGAGGCCGTTTCGGAAGCAGTACGCCCTGTCATGGGGCCATAGTTCTTGATTTGTTCAGAGTGTTTAAAATGGGTGTTGAGGGCTACTACTGGTGGCTTGAAAGTACTTGGTCTGTCGTGCTCTCGGCCCCGAGATAGCATCTCATGGTTTGGCTTGATCGGAGCTCCACCCATCTGGGAAGATAGATAGCACGACCGACGGCCGACCAACGACGATGGGGCTAGCCCCGTTCGAGAACCGCAGCTGGTCGCGTTGATGAGGCGTCTACGCGCGCAAAGATTATGACAAACAGCACTTTGTCAGTTGTCTTGCCAACATTCGTCCACGTCCCTTCTTCATCTTAAGCCACTGTCCTCTTGAAGCGCCAACGGTGTATATCCAGACCAGGAGAAGGTGCAGCAGCACAGAAATACCCAACGCGAGCTATTCAGACCAAATATACAAGGGCAAAAGATGGCAGGCAAGGCAAATGTTCTCCTCGTTGGCTCCGGCGGGGTGGGAACCATGGGAGTATACGCCCTTGAATCCGGCGGACAGGCCAGCGTGACGGCCGTGCTGCGATCCAACTATGCTGCTGTTATGGAAAAGGGATTCAGTTTCGACTCGGTTGATCATGGCAAAGTATCAGGGTGGAAGCCCACTGCCAGTGAGTCGCCAACTTGCTCCGTTTCATGGCCTCACTCCAAGCAGAAGTTTGCTCGCATGGCTCCTTTAACCAGGCTAATGACCACTCCTCTTGCTTGAGACAGTTGTCAACGCCGTCCCCACCGTTCAGAATGGCATGCACCCTTTCGATTTCATCGTCGTTACCACGAAGAACATTCCCGACGTACCGCCGACCGTTGCGCAGGTCATCGCTCCTGCTGTAACTCCAGGACACACGGTGATCGTTCTCGTCCAGAATGGCCTGAACATTGAGCATCCAGTGCAGCTAGCATATCCCACCAACATTGTTCTCTCGGGGATTTCGCACATTGGCGCAAAGGAGACCACTCATGGCCATATCTGGCAGAACGACCCCGACCGCGTCTTCGTCGGGCCCTTTAAGCACCCTACCATTCCCGAAGAAGAGGGTGTGGCTGCGGCCAAGCGTTTCGTCGAGATCTATAACGCGGGCGGGAAAGTCCAGTGCAAGCTAGATGACACGGTGACATGGCGCCGGTGGAGGAAGCTGATGTACAATGCTAGCTATAACCCCGTCTGCGCCATCACGCAATTAGACAGCGGCCGCCTCAGGCTGTCCCAGTCCCCCATCGATGGCTTGATAAGACCTCTGATGCACGAGGTCGTGGCAGTGGCCGGCGCACACGGCGTCGAGCTGGATCCTAACCTGATTGAGAGCGTTGTCAACGCCGAGGCCATTGACGACTATTTTGAGCCCAGTATGATGCAGGACGTTGCCAAGGTACGTTCCACGGTCTCATCGACCCGCGTTGATTGACGCCGCTGACCTTTGTTCTCTTGTTCCCCTAACAGGGTAATCTGAGCGAGTATGAGAATATCCTGGGCGAACCGCTGAGAGCCGCGCAGAGCAAGGGGGTCGAGGCTCCCACCTTGACACTAGTCTATGAACTGATGAAGGCGCTTCAGTGGAGGACCAAGGAGAGAAAGGGCATCATAAAGGATCTGCCACCAAAGAGGCAAATCTAGAAGCGTGGGACAGCTCTGTATAGAACTGTGATCTTTTGTTTCTGCACGCAGGATCAAATGGTTTGGTCATAGACCAGGCGACAATATGGAGTCTTGACGCAGTGACCGGCAGTATCAGGAGATAGTTAAGGTAGCAAATAAGTCATCACAGATAGGATAGTTAACCACAGCAGACCCCCCTACGCTCTACGCCCGAATCAGATACATCGCCCTGGGCAGAACCTTGATAGGCACTCCATCCAACAGTATCTGTCAGGAAGTCATGCTGGCAATATACTCGGGACTCGGTACGGAGTACTCGCAGCAAAAGCGACCGGGCGACTAGTCCTAACAAGGTTAGGATACCACAGGCTTACCACATGTGTGAGTAAAAGTGGAGAAGCTATTCTATCCCCCATCGAATCAGTTTTCCCTCCCTTCTCACGCGTCAAGTCGTCATGTATTGGAAGTATACCTTAGATAGGGTGAATCACATAGCACCTGGACTTTGCAACTATCGGTGTCAACGGTGTGGCGCACGCAGGTCCAGATACAGCGAGACAGTGTGGCTAGGATATCGAGTTCGGCTCGAGTTCAGTCCTTGCTGAGATTCCCGCCAATGTTCTCTTCAGCGCTAGGCGCCAGCGATCTAGCATCTCAACTTTACATGGCGAGTTAGGAGTACGAGGACATGTGTCAAGTCGCAGGATATGATTGAATCAAATTTACCAACAGACGTATATGTTCAACTACAGACAGCAAAATACTAGCAAAAGCGCTGCTTCGTCACCACAACAGGCCCCCAAGTGACCCTATCAGTACCTCCAACGCTCTTGTACATTATCGCCATCGCCAGTCTGTCCCTAGCGCTGCTTTACTCTCTCTCTCACATAACGTCAATCTGTGAAGATATCCCATCTTACTCTAGCGATCTTAATTGCCTATCTTCTTCATTGGTTTTGTCACCAAGTCCTTGATCGTTGCAAACGTTCTCTTTTCGTCACCCTCTTCGAGATCCTCGGCCGAATAAATCCGGCGCTCGCTGATGAGATCGACTTGATCACTCTTGAGGTACAACGGGCCACGGAAATAGATCTTGGCGCCAATGTACATGCAGCCGATGACAATGATGGAGACGTACTTGGAGAAGAAATTCTTGGCCGAAGATGGCAGTCCCAGAGGCCACACGGCCAGGTAAAACTCGTTGACGACGAGCAGGAGGCATAGCCCGAGTCCCATGAAGGAGGACCACGGGAAGTACTTGGTCGCCCAGGGGAGATCAGCCTTGGTGTAGCCCTGAGTCTTCCATGCTTTGCGGAAACGAATGTGGTTGGTGAAGAGCATCGACCAGTTGAACAGCGCGCAGAGACCGACCAGATGTGCCAACCACGCATAGACCTCGTAGGAACTCTCGGTGGCGTTGAGGTAGGAGATGCCTCCACCAATAACGAATGTCATGATGATGCTTGGCCACGGACGACCCTTGCTGTCTGTTTTCAGGAAGATTTTCGGAGCCATGCCTATCTGTGCCAGCCCGATCGGAGTTCTGGAGCTAGCATACGCCAACGCGTTTCCACAGGATAGGACGCTGAGCAAGATGATGGCGTTCATCACATGAGCGGCATTAGGAAGACCAGCCCGCAGCATGGCGATGACGAAGGGACTGGCGTTAGTGCCCGAGGCACCAAACAAGTCATGGTCGCGGGGGTCCACGCACAACGTTGTGACGAAGGAACCGCCGATGTAGAACAGCCCAAGTCGGATCCAGATGGTGTTGACGGCTCTGGGGACTGACTTCCTGGGATTCCGAGCTTCTGCGGCTGTCAGGCCAATGAATTCAGTGCCGGCCATGGAGAAAATGCAGTTGTGCAGGCCGTTGAGGAATCCTTTGAATCCGTTGATGAAGGGTGTTTCCCGCCAGTACCGGAAGCCGGTGGTGGTATGGTTGGGCGCGCCCCCAGCGGTGATCACAATGAACATGATGATGACCACAAAAATCCAGAAGAACTTGATGATGGACGCGACAAATTCCACCTCGCCAAAGACCTTGACGTGGAATATATTGACGAAGAGAATAATGGCCAGGAAAATAGTCACCCACACCGAGACGTGCAGGGAGTCGGTCCAGTATCGGATCACATTACACGCACCTTGGATCTCAGCCGCCAGCACGAGGGTGGACGACATCCAGTATGCCCAGCCCAGGGCGAAGGCGGGAGCTTTGTCAAGGAATTTTTCTGTCCACCGTGGAAAGGCCGAAGGGATCGGGTAGTTGCAGGCCATCTCCCCGACAGCCTGTGCAACGGCCCAAGAGATGAGTCCGGCCAAGAGGAAGCCCAACACGTTACTCACGGGGCCACCTTTCGCCAGCGTGGCACCTGATCCGAGCCAGAGCCCAAGGCCGATTGAGGAGCCGAGTGAGAAGAAGATGAGATGGCGAGACTGTAAGCTTTTCGCAAGGCCGGGATCTGGGGGAGACAATGGGGTCGTCTCTCCCGCGGCAGGAGTGCTCCCTTCGGTGCTTGAACCATCATTGACGACGGAAACAGCTTCCTTCTTGGTATCCATTGTGAGGAAGAGCAACAATTGTGGATAGTTTGAATGAGGAATGAGGACAGAGCTGGAGAGGTTGAGAGGTTGAGAGGCCTGATGGAAGACTCGCAGCCCGTTGGGAGCCTTTCACGTTTCCTGGAGGGGATCGCAGCCGTTTATAGACCACTCCCGACATATACACATGTGCAAGTTCCTTGGTTCTTATCAAGAGGCATTGATTTCCTGCCTCGAATCTGATAGACCTTCTGAGCTTCTCCCTTCCAGACACGGGGTCAAGTTCTTGTCCTGTTAGTTGAGCCGTCTATCAAGTCTCGGCCATGCTCTATCTGTTCGTGAATTGGATATGCTGCATCAATACCACAAAGGCGACCGGTTGGGGCGTTACACACAAGGAGACAAGGATAGAGAAGTCTTGACCAGGCCGTATTCACCATGGTTGGATATCGGGAGAGCACGATAAGTGCAGCGAAAAGCGAGCCCACGGAAGATAGCAAAGAGCGGAAAGACCCACCCTGAGGCCACGAGATACTCCGTACATACAACTCGGCCCCGCGCGCCGGTGGATCCGCCAAGCTTTGCCAAGCTCCGCTCCAGGTTGATAAAGGGTTTCGGCCGTTGAGGCTTGGCCCTTTTTCAATATCATTGCTATCACCGATATATCTCTACCAGTACAGAAAGAAGTCCGAAGGATATGCTCCGAGATACACACAGCCACGTCTCAAGGTCTCTCTGGCCCGAAGAAGCTAGCTTGCCAAGGAGTTCAACATCTGTTATGAACCTTGGTTCGGACCAGCAGAATATCGATGTTGTTAAAAGCTTGCGGCTCTCGGCCCCGACTTATCTCCCAAGCCGACTTCACTCCTCTCGGACACACACAGAGAATGAGCAAGGTGAGGTTGCTATAGGGCGCGTATACGCGTGGGCGACGCATCACAGCCCCTTATATCTCATTGAGAGCTTGCTTCTTGTCTATGACAGTAAAGGTCTTTCCAGTGAGTTCGAACCGGGGAGAAGGCACAATTTCCCTACAGAGTAAACATGGGTTCAATCAGCGAAACCCCAGTGAAAACCCTTCACCCGCTTGACCCCATCACGGCGGAAGAGATTACAGAAACCGCACAGCTCATCAGATCCAAGTATGCCGAGGGTGCGGTTCATTTCAAAGCCATCTCGCTCTTGAATCCCATCAAGAAGGCACTGCTACCCTACCTGGCCGCTGAGCGGGCTGGTAAGACCGAACTTCCCGAGATCCCGCGAAGGACTCAGGTTGTTTGGTTCCTCAGAGGCAGTTATGACTTCTTCAGCGCTGTGGTCAATCTGAAGACCAAGGAAGTCGAGCAACTGAAGCAATTGGACAAAAATGGGTATCCTGGGGGAGATGTGGACGAGACTCGAGAGATGCGGCTGACGGTTCCCGAACATCCCGAGGTCAAAAAGGCTATAGAGAAGCTCGAGCTTCCCGAAGGTACAGAAGTTGTGTGCAACACTTGGTCGTACGGCCGGGAAGACGAGATACAACACGAGCGTAGGGTTCAGGTAGGGCATCTCCTGCGCGTCGTAAAGCCCACCACTAATGACCATATACAGTGCTACATGTTCTGCAAAGACCCTAAACGCGCCACGAACGCATCTAATCATTATGACTTCCCTCTCCCGATTGCCCCGGTTTTTGAGAACAAGTCCAAGAAGCTGGTGGAAATCATCTACCTACCGACCGGAGCAGATGCGAAGGTTAACACGAGCCCCAAGTTTGTCCCTCACAAGGCACAAGAATTTCATCACAGCCTGAGAGAAAAGCCGGCACGGACGGACCTGAAACCGCTCATCGTGACCCAGCCAGAAGGGACATCCTTCACCGTCGACGGATATCTTATAAAATGGCAGAAGTGGCGCTTCCGGCTGTCTTTCAATTTCCGAGAGGGCATGGTGATCAACGACGTGACCTACGATGGGAGGGAGTTGTTCTACCGAGTCTCGCTGAGTGAAATGGTCGTCCCCTACGCTGATCCTCGTAGCCCTTACAATCGAAAGTCCGTCTTCGACCTGGGTGATGTCGGTGCCGGCAATTCGGCCAACAACCTACAGCTTGGGTGTGACTGTCTGGGAGTTATCAAATACTTTTCCTTTGTGGTGACCAACAGCAAAGGCGAGGCGGTGCCGAAACCGAATGCCGTGTGCATGCATGAGATCGACAATGGCATCGGCTACAAGCACACCAACAACAGAAGCGGCTTGGTTTCAATCACCCGCGCTCGGGTTCTCGTCCTGCAGTCGATCCTGACGGTTGGCAATTACGACTACATCTTTGCCTTCCATTTCGACCAAGCAGCTGGTCTGCATTATGAGATCAAAGCGACGGGTATCGTGGCCACACAACCCATCGACCATGGCGTTACCGTGCCCTGGGGCACTGTCGTGAATCAAGGCGTCCTCGCTCCTCATCACCAGCATGGTATGGAATTCCGCCCCCTCCCTCCTCCCCGCTCATCTAACCTATGCAACAGTGTTTATTCTTCGGATTGATCCCAACCTCGACGGGTCAGCCAACACCATTGTGATGGAAGACTCAGAAGCGATGGCGCCGGATGACGAGTTGAATCCCTACGGTGTCGGCTACGTAGTGAAGAAGACCAAGATCACCGAAGCTGGCTCTGCCGATTTCGCGCCGAACCGCGTGTACAAGATCATTAACCCGAACTCGATCAACCCTGTTTCCGGCCAGCCCGTGGCCTACGCCATCGCAAGCCCCATGAGGCAGATGCTGCTCGCACAACCGGACTCCCAGCATGGGAAGCGAGCAAGGTTCGCCACCCACCCCTACTGGGTCACCAAGTATCGGGACGGCGAGCTCTTTGCCGGTGGCAACTATACGTACCAGAGCATCGCGCTCCCCGTGGACAAGGCCACCGAGGACGGCAGCGGCGACGTGGCTGCCTGGGCAAACAGGAAGGACAACGTGGACAATGAAGACATTGTGTTGTGGCACTGCATCTCACTGACGCACAATGTCCGCGTCGAGGATTACCCCATCATGCCCTGCGAGACGATCCAAGTCTCTCTCAAGCCCTCTGGCTTCTTCCAAGAGAACCCGCTCATGGACGTGCCGCAGAGCAGTCAGCTCTTCAGCAAAAGCGTCCTCTACGAAGATCAGCTGAAAGGGCAGACCAATGGTGAATCTACAACTAATGGACAAGGGTCTTGTTGTTCCAATGGCCATTAGGGGGACCATGCGACTTGAATTGAAACTACTAGAACCGAGCATATACCAGGAGTTAGATATAAATATTGTCATCACTTGTAACTTCTTTGCAGTGGTCCTTCTTAGTTTCTGTCTTTCTTTCCCTTCCCCCGGTAGGGATCTCGCCAGCACGTTGACTTACGGTAGATCAGCTACGTTCCGACCACAGCCGTTGAAGAATGTGGCGGCGGCAGTGTTAGGCCTTTGATCTCGACTGATCAAAAAAGCGGACCACGGGCGATACTAACCGCACACGTGTGCACAGAATGCCATGTGGACCTTTGCTCTCTTGCAGTATTGCCAGGACTCAATATCTTGACTCGGTTATGCAGCCAGCAATCAAATCCCAACTCCTAGACGATAAGGACCCGGACAATGAGTCGAAGGAGTTGAGTCCTGGAAACGCTGATATCTCGTCAACATGCATTCGCAATCTTTGTTGACAACAGAACAGAACCCCGGATCCGTCTGATAGACGCGAGACATTTCATATCAGCGCCGAGAACCTCTCTATAGACTCTATCGTGGTTAGTGGGCCTCGCGCCAACGGATTTCGGGGCCGAAGAACCACCCCTGCGATATTGTACTGTAGGCCGGGTACTCGAATCTAAATAAGGCGTGATAGGGTTCCCCAGTGGTACCCGGCTATTGACTATCGCCAGGTCCGTGTAGATTGTCTCGAGAGGATCCTATTCAAGCCCGAACGGTGTCTATTCGATCTCCGGGTCGGCGTGTCGAGGTGCTTTCGGGCGCCCTTTTGTTGGAGAACTCGTCTGTGCACTCCCGAGACCATCCATTGGTCTTTGGATATGCTCTGAAATTCCTTCTTTCTGTCTTTTTTCGTAAGGCGTTGTCGGATCGCGTCGAGCTTGAGTGAAGCGGCGTCCTTCGTGGGGTGAAGCTGAATAGTATTTCATTCTTTCTTATTGCATCTCTGAGATACGCTCACTTTCATACTGGAGAAACTTGACCTGCGGCAACAATGGCATTCAGCACGACAAGTACTCTGGTCCGACCTCCAACCGACGTGCCAGAGATGGCACCAGCTGCCAAAATCTCCACGGCAGATCATCCTGTGGAGGGGTATCTGGACAGCATAGTCATCGAGCCCCGACGACCAGACGACCTCGAAACAGTCCTGACCATCAACGACCTTAGGGAACTTGCACAGAAGAAGGTGCCGAAGATGTATAGAGGTGAGCTCCCCAAATATACTCCTGTGTAACGTCAGGCAAATTGGGATTGAAGCATCCATCTCACCGGTTCTCTTCCCTGAGGGCGTGGCCGAGATATTGAATTCGTGCTGACTCGATTTTCTTTATGGCCAGACTATTTTAATGACGGAGCGGACGATATGATAACGTACGTACGCATCTGTGCCCCGAAGCACCTGTACTTCTATACAGGCTCCAAGCCTAGACTGGATTACGCCAGTGGCGGAGAGCATTTTCAAACATCAAATCTGTGGCCTGCGGGACAGCTTTGTTGACTACCTCTACTGCCGACCTCGCTTCATGTGTAAGAAGGACGTGTGCTAATTATATGTGTGACTGTCGGACATAGTCTTCGTGATAATGAAGCGGCATACAACCGCTACAAGATTCGGCCACGAGTCTTGGTCGATGTGTCGGAACTCGATTCCAGCATTGAAATGTTTGGGAAGAAGGTAGACAGGAACTTCGCATGGTCGTTACCATAAGCAGGATCGCTGACAAAAGGCTCTCGATGTAGCTGCCAATACCCCTCGGTTTTGCTCCTGCTGCCGCACACAAGCTCG